GCCTTGCTGGGCTGGTTCTGCATTATTACTCCAGGAGACATGGCAGGAGGCATAAATGCAGTGCTCTTTATTTTTATAAGAACCCAATTCCTTGAATCTAAATGCCCTCCCTCAAGCAGGAATTCCATGTTCCTCCATATCACACAGCCCTATGGCTAAGATCTTCTTCACCCGGATCTGTCAGTGTCACCAACACGAAGATTTGCTTGCTTGGCTCTTTTTTTAATGCCTCAATTATTTAAAACTCACTCTGAATATTATGTTCCTTTTAAAAAACTTCCTGTATCTCAAAAAAAATGATTTTTTCTTGTTTGTAGTAATTTCACCTTTCACCACTAATCACAGACGTTACTGGCAAGTCTATATTTCCAGGTCTCCTGAAACTCCAAATCCCATAGGCTGCTAGACCACTAGCCAGGAGCAATGTCAAGCCTGTCCCACCACCCACTAATTTACTCTGGGACCTTGTGTGTTTATAAAGAAAGGAAACTATGGACAGGAGATATGCCTGGACACAGGGGTCCCACGCTGCAGACACCGCGGAGTCCCAGCTACAGATGCCTCAGATAGAGGCAAGTGGTCTCTACCTGACCCAGGGAGGAGCTGAACCCCACTGACCGGAAGAGAGAGACCCAGGAACCATGAGCAGCAGAAGCCCTACCTGCAGATGATGAAGTACTTGGAGTAATGGGGGGTGGGGGAGAGACAGAGAGAGAAAGAGGGAGAGAGAGAGAGAAAGAGAGAGAGAGATTCAGCTATATCAAAGAATGACAACAAAATTCAGCAAGATCCTAAACTTTTTAAACTTCTTGGAAAAGACTTTGCAAACCATCCTCTTGATGTTTGCTCGAGCGGGCCCAGTAACGTCTCCATTGGAGACTTTGTTGTTACTGTGTCTGGCATATCGAATACTCTCGGTAGCTTGCCGGGCTCTCCGAGAGGGGCGGAGGAATCGAACTCGGGTCGGCCATGTTGGCCGCGTGTAAGGCGAACGCCCTACCCACTGTGCTATCGCTCCAGCCCTTGATGTTTAGTGATCTGAAAAACAACAATTAAAGAGCGAACCATAAGTTATATTGTTTATTCTTTGGGCCTCAGTCGGCTGTTCTCAAGACTTACTCCTGGCCTTGTGCTCAGGGATCACTCCTGGGGATACTCAAGGGGCCATATGAGATGTCGGTGATCAAGTCTGAGTCAGTTATGTGCAAGCAAGAGCCCTGTCCACTCTCCTGTACTATCTCTCTGGCTCCTATGAGTTCCCTCAAAGTTTCAATGTTTATTCATCAAAACCAATATCAAGTATCATGGGCCACCCCACAGCGCTACAGCAGGAGCCCAGGAGGACAGTTCTAGGAGGATCCCCGAGAGGGAAAAAGAAAGTGCGGCAATTACAGCACATTCGCCAAGAAAACAGTATCACCTCCTCCCAGTCCTGTGCATCTTCTACCACAGACATCGACAGCCTGTTTGATTCTGATGCTGCTCCCTCAAGGAGGGATTCCATCGTTCTCCAAGTCATACAGTGCCATGGCCAAGAGCTACTTCACCTGGATCTATCGGTGTCACCAATAGGCAGATTTGCTTGCTAGGACCTTGGCGAATGAATGATCAAACTAGGGGTAAGACGTGGCTGCATGCATGGCAAGTACTACCTCTCCAGTTGTATGTTCTTTTTTGAATGCATCAATTTTAAGACATTCTAGTGCTCTCTCTCCCTACACAAACAAAATGTGAAGATGTACCTTCAACAAAAGTTTTTTTGTTACTGACAGAAAAATGTCTAAAAATCAATTGTCATGTCTGAATTACACTCAGAGACTGCTCATCTATGCTGGATTGTTGTTCACTCTCTTTTTTATTCAGTCACAGTGAAATTGCAAAAGTACTTATGATTTGGTTTCGGGCATACAATGTTTCAAGACTGATCCCTTCATCTCCACTAAAACCCCTTGATCTCCAGACAATTTGCCTCTCACCCACCAGTCTGTCTCTATGAGGGGAAGGGTTTGGGGGAAGCTTTAAGGGGTTTTTGTTTTGTTTTGGCCACAGATACTCCTGGCTTTGCACTCTGGAATTGCTCAGAGAATCATACGTGATGAATCTGGGATCAAACTCTAGTCAGATGCATGCAAGGGAAATGTCCTACCTGCTGTACTAACACTCTGGCCCCAACATTTTTTGAAGTTGTGTACTGTTGTTGACAGTGTTGCTGCTTATAGGGTTCCATAAACAACACGTTTCCACCTTTCTTATGCTAGCTTTTGTTAAATTCACCTCTCCAGCAAAAGCTTCCCAGTAGCAGTCCCATGGCCCACAGCTGTTGCTCTCACATGCTGTGGAAATCTGGAAACTCAAGAACCAGTGCCCAGGGCCAGTGCCTCCAGGCTGCACGGGCCTTGCTCTCTGTCTCTGAGTTCTTTCATTCTCCACCAGCATTAACGGGTCTTATTCAGATGAAAAAGATCCTAAATATCTTTCCTCCTCTTTTCTTTCCTCCTGTTTTCTTCTCTTTCCTTCCCTTCGCTTACTTTTCCTTCACTACCATTCCCTTTTCTTCCCTTTATTCCCTTGCCTACCCTTTTCTTCTCTATTCCCTTCTCTTTCCCACTTTTTCCTTTCCTGTCTTTCCCTTGCCTTCCCTTCCCTTCCATTCCTTCCCCTATTCTCTACTCTTCCCTGAGTGTTACAGCTATGTCATACTTCAAAGTATGGGGAATTGCCTGAAAGTTAACTGTAATTCACCAGTCAGTTACAGAGCTAATGCCTGCTCTAATATTATCTTCCAGGAAACAAACACATTTTATTACCCCCACGCTTCCTGCCTGATCCACAGAGAACACATTCCTCCTCCACAGGTGCCCTAATAGGCCCTTCCCTTTCCTCTGCTTCTGCCCTCTCCACATTATTTGGCCGCCATGTCCTAAAGTCACTATTATCTCCCTATTTCACTTGTTCATCAGACATCCTCCCCCCACCCCTTCCCCCTGCATATTCCTGGTTAAGTGCTTTCAGGGCTTTCTCCCTCCTCCTGCAAATAATTTTAGGGATGGAAAATTTAGACTTGATACTGATGGAATCATCAGCAGCAGGAGTAAGTGACAGAGACTTGGGGATCAATATCTCATCTCAGCACAATGAGGAAAAAGTATGCTGTGAGGCTCACTCTGGCTCTGGGTAGTAGCAGTTATGACCTGGAGTTGTTCGTGCATATTTTTTTTTATTTAAGCGTCTCCTGCCCCCGCGCCTGGCTGTCCTTGCTGGGGCCCCTTGGAGGGGAGCGGGTTGAGTTTTCCTCCCCGCCGCGACCAGGGCTCCGGCAGCCAAAGACCTCCAGAACCAGCCACCACCATGCTGAAACAACTCTCCGCACACATGAAGGTACCAGCAGAGGAACAAAGGCATGCGGGTACCGGGGCTGAGATCTCCAAGCCTACTCGGATCAGGGGTGAGCATCCTCCACCCAGATCCTCCAAATTCCAGTAGGCGGGGATCACACCCACCAACTGGACCCCTGGCACCGTGTAATCCCATCAACGGCCAAGACTCAGAGACTATAAAACCCAGCTCCGGGAAGCGCGTGGCTGCATTTGGGGCCGTGAGACATCTTATCATCTCATTCCTACTTTGGACAAACTGGCAGGCTACCGAATGTAACCTGCCCACACGGCAGAGTCTGGCAAACTCCCCGTGGCGTACCCAATATGCCAAATACCAGTAACAATGAAGGGTCTCATTCTCCTAACTCTGAAAGAGCCTTGAATATTGCACTTTTTAAAAAAATCTCAGGGCTAGGACGAAGGAGACGTTACTGGGGCCTGCTCGAGGCAATCGACGAATAACAGGATGGTTGTGATTGATTGTGATTTAAAACATGTTTTGGTTAATTTTTTGGTTTACAATACTATTAACAAGGATTTCTCATGCACATGTTGTTTAATCATCCTGGGAACCAGTCCTCACGGTTATGAATGAGGAGGAGCCTCTATATGAGTATGTGTTTAGGGAAATTATTCAGACACAGCAGCTGACGCAGGATAGGACGCCCCCTAGCTCATGGAGCGCTCCCAGCTAGGAAGCACAGTTCAGATCGAGTTGTCCTTCTGCGCTATGGTCACACGGGGGCGCCGCTGCTCTGCTCGCTTCTACTTTGAAGGGGCGTGGCTGTGGTCTGACTCAGGCTGAGATGCTAACCTGGAGGAGGACATCCATCTTTCTTTATTTTTGAGTCTCACCTGGCAGTGCTCAGGGCTTACTCCTAGGGTGACTTCGCAGACCATATGTGGTGCAGGGACTGAACCCAAGACAGCTGCATGCAAGGAAAACACCCTACCTGCTCTACTCTGGCCCTATCCTTGAGAATGTTTTTTGTTCTTTCATATGTGTCTCCATCCCTCTTGGAGAGCCCAGCAAGCTACCAAGAGTATCTCGCCCACACAGCAGAGCCTGGCAAGCTTCCCCTGGTGTATTCGATATGCCAAAAATAGTAACAAGTCTCACAATGGAGACATTACTGTTGCTCAGTGGAGCAAATTAACTTGAGAACAATGACAGTGACGTGTGTGACTAGTTCTTTTTTTTTTTTTTTTTTACCCAGACGGCAACGTCCAGTCACTCGGGGGCACGCCACCGCGCGGACTGCGTGAGAGCGTCTCGCTCGGCTGAGGGCCGAGAGCACGCACACCCCGAAGCCGGGCTCCGCAGCACCACCGCCGGCTGCGGCACACACAGACACGGGAGCGGACGGCGTGTCATCCCCCCCCCCCCCCCACAGGAAGCACGGCTCCTGCGGGGCAGAGCGGGGGATTCCGCGGGCTTAGGTCGGGTCCAGGAAGCGAGACCATACCCGCGCACACGCCTGTCTTCTCCGACCGCGCCCACACGGGCCCATCCGAGCCCCGACCACCGACAGCGGGACCCTCCCCCGACGGGGGGAGGCGCGGGCCGCGGTAGGCAAAGAGCGAGGGCGCTCGGCACCCCCCCCCCCCCCACGTCGGGGGGGAATGACGGCGGAAGCCTCTCCCCGCCACAGGGCGGCGGGGAAGGGCAGGCTCTGCTACCAGTGGCTGACAGCGCAGGTAGAGGAGGGGCAGCAGCTGGGGGATCCGGTACCCCAAAGGCACCCTCTCAGATCGCTAGAGAAGGAGTTTTCTCCGCCGAGGGGGCGCCGCCCCCCGACCTAGGCCGGCTGCCCCGCTTCTCCGGGCTCCCCCGACTCGAGTGGGGGGGGGGTCTGCCATAGTGGTCCGGTGGCCGGGCCCCGCCGAAGCAAGACCGACCAGAAACGTGAGCGTCCGCGGTCAGGTCCGTTGCGTGCTGGGTCCGCGGGAGAACCCGCCGCCCCTCCACAGCACCCGGCAGACGGCCCCCGCCCACCAGGGCGGGAGACCGGCTTCCGCCCCCGCAACGGGAGAGGAGCGGAAATCCCGGGCAGAGCGAGAGAGAGCCCCCAAAGGGGGCCACCTCGGCTCCCAGAGCCCGGCACAACGACAACCCACCGCCGCCCACGCGCCCGCGTGCGCTAGAGCCAGTTAATGCGAGGCACGCGGGCACGCGCCCGAGAAACGGAGGCCGCCCAACCGCCCACGACCCAAGCGGCGGGCCGCAAGGGGGCGAACGGCAAGGCGACCCCCGTGTGACAGACAACGACCGGCTCGACCCCCAGAGGGGAACACCACCGAACGAGGAGAGCCCGAGGAGGGCAGGACCGCGGAGCCAGGTGACGGGGAAACGGCACCACCGGCTCGGCCTCAGGCACCTGACAGGACGACCTGGAGCGCTCCAGGGGCACCACCGAGGGCCGGTTGAGGCACGGCAGCGCGCGCCACCGCCAGGCGCCCACCCCCCCCCCCCCCCCCCGCCGCGGGGAGGGGCCGGCTCGAGAGAACGGGAACCTGGGACGGTCCCGACAGAGCGAGGGTTGTCCACCGTGTCAGATGACCCCGAAAAGCCCACTCCCTGTGCACCAAGCAAGAAAGCGGCAAGAACGGGATCGGGCCGGGGTCCGCACCCCTGAACGCCCCGCCCCACCGCGAGGTGGGGGAGAAGCAAGAGGCCCGCTGGCAGAACGAGAAGAGCGGTCCCATTCACGTGGAATGTCCGTCCCTCGTCTGGCGCGGCTTAGGCCCAGCCCGGGAGAGCACACCAGTGTGACTAGTTCTTAAACATTACTTTAAATATTTCAAATTTTCCTCCGCCCCTCTCGGAGAGCCCAGCAAGCTACCGAGAGTATCTCACCCGCACGGCAAAGCCTGGCAACTACCCGACACGCCATTTTGTCAGTAAAGAAACGAATAGCACCCGGTCCAGACAAGGTCAGTCCTGAACACCTGAAGAACCTGCCGTCAGTACTCATCAATACACTGGCTTGGCTCTTCACATGCTACCTGTCTGAATGCAAGGTTCTGTCCCAATGGAAAACCAGCAGGACCGTACTACTGTACAAGAAGGGAGACATACATGACATTGGCAACTATCACCCAATCTGCCTATTGTCTGTCATCTACAAACTGTTCACTCGAGTCATCCTGAATACGATTGGCAGAACACTAGATGAAGGATAACCATGCCAGCAAGCCGGGTTCTGCAAAGGATTCAGCACCATCGACCATATCCACATGATAACCAACCTCATCGAGGTTTCTCTGGAGTTCAAGATGCCACTCTGTCTAACGTTCATTGATTTAAAGAAGGCCTTGGATTCTGTTGAGATTGAAGCGGTCATTGAAGCCCTAACCAATCAGGGCATTCAAACTCAAAACATCAGGATCCTCCATGAGCTGTATTACGGATTCAGTACCAGGATCTCACTATTCTACAAAGAAGTAATCATTGATGTCAAGAAGGGGTTCAGCAGGGTGATACCATTTCACCGAAATTCTTCAGTGCCACCCTCGAGAACATCATGCAACAACTGGAATGGGAAGAAATGGGAGTGAAGATAGATGGTCAGCAACTACACCACCTCTGCTTTGCTGATGACATTGTTCTAATAACACCAAACATTAGCCAAGCGGCACAAATGCTGGCCGACTTCGACCATGAGTGTGGAAAGGTCGGACTACAACTGAATCTTACGAAGACATTGTTTATGAGAAACAGCCTCATTCCTGACGCTCCATTTGCTCTCAACGGAACGACCATCTCTGAATGCACCAGTTATGTGTACCTAGGTTGAAAACTCAGCATGATGAATGACCTGGCACCTGAGTTGCACAGGAGGAAGAGAGCAGCTTGGAACGCCTTCAAGAGCGTCAAAGAAATAGCTAAGAGGATGAAGAACCTCCAGTTCTGGGCACATCTCTTTGATTCCACTGTTCTTTCTGCATTAACATATGCCTCAGAGACCTGGGCCCTATGCAAACAGGATGAGAACGCTATTCAGGTCTCCCAAAGAGAAATTGAAAGCTATACTTGGAGTCTCACGTTTCACTCAAATGAGAGAAAAAATCCGGAGTTCCAACCTCAGTGGACAATCAAGAATCAGGGACGCTTCTTAGTTTAAGATAGTCCCATTTATCTATTTCTGTTTTCACTTACTCGGCCAGTGGTGTATGGAGTGTTTCACTAATAAAAATTAATAAAAAAAAAAAGAATCAGGGACACTGTCTCGTTTGCCAAGGTGTCAAAACTCAGATGGTCTGAACATGTAATGAGATTTAGAGACGACCGCTGGACTTGAGCCGTTACCGACTGGACGGCTCCATGGGACGTCAAAAGACCACATGGCCGCCCACCTACCAGATGGTCAGACTTCTTCATCCAGATCCTGAACAATCGGTTTGAGGTGCTGCGTGTTCCTAGAACAAATAGACGCCATTGGGCTACACTAGCATGCGACAGGGACAAATGAAGACGTTACTGGCGCTTGCTCGAGCAAATCAACGATTAACGGGAAGTCAAGTGATCAAGTGATCAAGTGAACTAAAACATTATTTGTTTCTGCACAACCAGGATGGACCCCTGCCTCTGTATGTGAAAGGCCTGTGTCCTACGCTGAGTCTTATCCTGAGCTCACAGGACTTGCTAGCTTTCCTGACTAGAAGAGGAAGCTAGATTGAATGTCTGGAATATTCCTCAGTGTAGACATTTTGGGGCCTGGGAATGTTGCTCAGTGTAGACTGTCTGCCCTGCAGATATGAGAGCATGAGTTTGACCCCTGGCACTATCTCACATGCCTCATGTGATCCTTTGATTCGAGACAGTGACAGTGACAGTGACATGTGTGATGCTGTCTTGTGTGATCCCTGGCCCTGCAACAAAAAATAGTTCTGTCTTTAACACTGCAACCAAGTGTGAAGTAGCGCCACAACTAAACGATGTTATCTAAATTATCTTACAACTGAGCAGTGCATGAGCACTGTGAGCAAGTGTCTGACCGACAACAAGCATCAGAGCCAAGTGAAGGCACCAACAGCAGTGACAACAAAGGGAGGGAAAGGGACAGAAATAGATCAGCAATAAAAGATCTCCTAAACCAGCTTCTTTGAAACATCAGACCTAAAAGACAGCGAACAATGCCCGGTGATATACTTTAGCTCAAAAGGCTTGGGCACAGATGGTGTGTGCTGCAAGGCCAGGCTCACCCAGACTGCAAGGTCTCCTGAGCACCCCTAGGAGCAGCTCCCAAGCACAAAGCCTGGAGTAACCCTGAGCACAGCAGAGTAAAGTTCCCCCCCCTGCCCAAATGAGCAGATACTGAGAAAGAGACCCTGCAGGAGCTCAAGATACAGCAGCTCATGGGGAGGGGGTCTGTGTGTAGAGTTAACAGTAACTGTAGCCTCCTATCTATGGCTACATTGTTGTACTTTCCCCCATTCTGTTCCATGTTCTCTCCTGCTGTCCCATGTGGGTCTCTAAGCCCAGCAGAGTCCAGCTCTGCTCCCACACAGGCCATTTCCCAGGCAGGTCACTCTCTCACCTCCTGAGCGCTGCCCTACTTCCTCCTCCCTCTGCCAACCAGTCAGATCCCTTCCCATCGTCATGCTCAGATGAGTTTTTCTGATATTCTATTCAAGTTTTTGGGTTTTGGAAGTGCTCAGGAGGCTTCAAAGCAAGCTCCAGGGTCTTCAGCATCACACCTGTGGTGCTCTGAGGCCTGTGTGTGCACACACAACCCAGCTGCATGTGCCCTTTAACCCTTGAAACCCTTTTCCTTTTTTTGAGAGAAGTTTGTGTAAGCAACATGATTTACAAGTTGTTCTTTATACAATTATTTCAGGAATTCCATGTTCCAACGCCAAGTCCACCACCAGTGTGACCTTTCCTTCACCAAAGTCCCCAGTTTCCCACACAACCCTCAGCCTGCCCCCTTAGCAGGCTCAAAGAAATTTAATTCATATTGATTGTTACAACACATGCTATAACATAAAATTGTTCCTGCATTAAATACTTTCCTTTGTAGAGGTGGTTCTTGCTGGGATGACCAGGGTGACAGATGCGCTCTAGCTCGAGGACGCACACGCTCTGGCTCTGAGGTTGTACATGTAGGCTGTGGTGTCAACACACTTGGCTACGCTGCTCATTATTTTGGTCACACACACTGGCATTTCCTCCCCACCCACAAGCCTAACCCCCTAGTAGGCACAGAATAATTTACTCTGTATTGCTTGTTACAAGAAGAAAGTATTAGGAAATAGATCAATAGAAGTCAATCTGTGATCATTGTTCTATCTCACAACAGTGTAACTAAAGGCACTGTCTGAGGGTTTACTGTAGGTTTTGTGCTACTGAGTTTTCTGTGTTACTATTTTTGCGCACTGAGCTTGGTGGGCTTCTATAAAACATTTTTCAAAACTTTTTTTATCGAATCACTGTGAGATAGACTACTACAAAACTGTTCATTATTGGATTTCAATCATACAGTATTCCAACACCCATCACCTCTCCACCAGTGTACATTTCAAAGCACCAGTGTCCCCAGGTTCCCTTCCATCACCCCCACCCCTAATCCCTCTATGGCAGGTGCTCTTCTTCTTCTTTTTCTCCTCCTCCTCCTCCTCCTCCTCCTCCTCCTCCTCCTCCTCCTTCTCCTCCTCCTCCTCCTCCTCCTCCTCCTCCTCCTCCTCCTCCTCCTTCTTCTTCTTCTTCTTCTTCTTCTTCTTCTTCTTCTTCTTCTTCTTCTTCTTCTCTCTCTGTTGTGGGCATTGTGGTTTGCAATATCCTACACAACTTCTTATCAGATACGTTGTTTTACATCTGGGCTGTGGTCAGATGGCTCAAACTACTATGAAATGCAGTGTTGCTCCAGAAACTGGAAGCATCTGGTGGCTTGGCAGCTTGATGAGGTTCAGTTGTGGAGCTAGGCTATTTCTATGCCTGAAACTTTGGGTGTGGGTGGGAGCTGTTGGCCCCTGAGCAGGGGAGGGTGACTGGAGTGTTCGGGGAATCTGCCCAACCCCATTCTGAGGATGGCCCAGAGCTCAGCCCTGACTGGTCTACATGGAAGATTTAGCAGCTTGGCATTCTTCCTAAGATTACTCAAAGAACTAGGCCATTTCTATACCGAAAAAAAAATGTTGGGAACTAGATAAATAAAGGAGAAGGACAAGAGAGGTCTTTTATGAGAACTTTCAACCCAGAATGCTGGCACTAGAGGTGGAATAATGTCCCCGGGGGCTTGTGGAAGGTCCTGTATCTGCTCTATCTGTTTCCTCTCCTGAAAGAATCTCCCCTAAAGAAACTCCATTACAAAGATGTTTTTCCCCAGAACCAAGACCGTTGGATGTGTAAAGGTCTATCAGATAGATTAAGGTAGTTAGGATTTGCCCAAAGAATGTTGTTCTGATGATTATGGATTCTAAGTAATAAATAAGATTCATGAAGAACATTCAGGCCTCAGTGAGGGGCTGTGAACACCTCACCACATGCTTTTCGCTTCCACTTCTGCCTCTTTCTTAGTCCTCATGGCATCCATGGATCAGGCCTGCTTAGCTGGGGCTGGTCCCTGGCAAAAATCTAATATGGTTTTTCTTCAAAAGACTTTCTAGGGGCTGATGAGATAGTATAGCAGGTAAGGTGCTTCCCTTGCACCTTGCCAGAAAAAGATTCTATTGCCTGCAACCCATATGTTTCCCTGAGCACTGCTAGGAGTAATTCCTGAGTACAGAGACAGTGAGCATCACTGGGTGTGACCCCTTGCACCCCAAAAGACTTCCTGCCTGGTATGTGGCCAACACAGTTTTGATCCACGGCACCACATATGGTCCCATGAACCTGCCAAGAGTGATCCCTGAGCACAGAGCTAGGAGTTACTCCTGTGTGCTGCCTGGTGCAACCAAAAGCCAAAAGAAAAAAAAAAACAACTTCACCACCAACAATAAAAGACTTTAACTCAGATTCCTCTCACGGAAAACACTGATGGGCACAACCTGAACGCACGGAAGCATCTCTGGGCTCTTAACGGACTTGTAAGATTGTAGCAAGATAGAGAAATGAAAACCACGGAAAATCGATGAGTCAGTCTCTGTCCTGGACATGGGGAGACAGTGTGACAAAAATCAGGTGAGAGAGCAGGTGAGAGGGCGAGGTCCCAGGTCCCAGGTGTGGCTCCAGGTGTCCCCAGGGTGGTGTTGGGTGCAGGAGATCTGTCCTGGAGATTCCTGGTCAGCGCCTTCTACCCGGATACTCGTGACGCGTCCCCAGTCCTCACTCCCATTAGATCAGCCAATCAGCGTCCGGGACGCTCCCGGTTATAAACTGAAGACAATTGCGAGGGAGTCAGAACCCGCCTGGTTACTTCAGTATGTGGGAGCCTAGACCTCTCCTGCTCCTGTTCTCGGGGGCCCTAGCCCTGACCCAGAGCCCGGCGGGTGAGTGCGGGGTCGGGAGGGGAGTTCGTTGCGGTGGGAAGGGTGGGGACTTTCAGGCATAGATGTGCAGGAATCCCGAGAAGTTTCTCCTGTTCCCTGCCTGGGTGCCCCCCCACCCCGCGCGAATGTTCCTCCTTGTCCACCCAATCTTCAACTCCTCCCGCGCCCCTAAGTCTCGCCCTTATTTGTCCGTCCCCCCTTTGCCGTCTCCTGAGACCCCTCCCTTTCCCTCACCCTGGCCCCGGAGCGAGCGGGACGGCGGGGCGGGCTGGGTCTCACCCCTTCCCTTTCCCCTTCCCCTCCCCCAGGTCCCCACTCCCTTCGGTATTTCCAAACCGCTGTGTCTCTGCCCGGCGGCGGGGAGCCCCGCTACATCAACGTGGGCTATGTGGACGACACGGAGTTCGTGCGCTTCGATAGCGCCTCGGGGAGTCCGAGGATGGAGCCGCGGGCGCCGTGGGTGGAGCAGGAGGGACCCGAGTACTGGGAGCGGGAGACGCGGGTAGCCAAGGACAAGGCACAGTGGTACCGAGTGAACCTGAACACCCTGCGCGGCTACTACAACCAGAGCGAGGCGGGTGAGCGCAGCCGGGCAGGGAGGAGCCAACACAGGGACGGGCCGGGTCGCCCCGAGACGGGTCCGAGTGTCGCGGAGGCTGAGGGACCCTCCCCGGACCTTGACCGGGAGGCGCCGCGGGGACCGGGCCCGGTTTCGTTTTCCGTTCGAGTCTAATCTGTGCGGGGCGGGTCAGACTCTCACACCATCCAGAAGATGTCTGGCTGCGACGTGGGGTCCGAAGGGCGCCTCCTGCGCGGGTACCAACAATACTCCTACGACGGCGCCGACTACATCGCCCTGAACGAGGACCTGCGCTCCTGGACGGCGGCGGCGGGCACGCAGGCTTGGCGAACCCAGCGCAAGTTCGAGCAGGGGGGTGAGGCTGAGTACAAGAGGGACTACCTGGAGAACACCTGCGTGCCTTGGCTCCTCAGATACCTGGAGAAGGGGAAGGACACGCTACTCCGCGCAGGTACCAGGTCCCTGAGGGCTAGGACTGCTGACCTCCACTGGTCGGGGCTGACTTCCCACAAGGGGAAGATACCAGGGTTCAGTGTCCAAATAGCGCCCCTTCCTCAGTCAGGAGAGGGAAGGACCCGCTGGTTTCCATGTTCTGTACCACAGAGACGGGCCCTCCCCTCAGGCCCACCCTGTGTCCTCAGGGCCCTGAAGGAACTCAATGGGGGCCCGGGAGTGGGGAACCTTCTCTGAAACAACGAATGTGGGTTCCCTGGGACCCGGCAGCCATCTGTGAACTCTCTCAGGTCTTAGCTCTGACTCCAGCTTCTCTCAGTCACTCACCCTCCTCCCAGGGCAGGACCAGAGTCAGTGTGTCCTAAGAGACCCTAACCTTCTTCCCAAACTCTGTTCTAGAGCTTTCCAAGGAATAGGATTTTATCCAGTTTCTCCAGTCAAGTTTGTGTCTGGATTTTTGCCTCCTATTCCAAACCAATTGCCCTGTTCAACCTCATTATGGAAGTGACCCAAAGTGTAAATTTTTGCATTTTTCCTCCTCAGAAGCCCCCAGAAGACACATAACCCGCCACCCTTTCTCTGACCATGAGGTCACCCTGAGGTGCTGGGCCCTGGGCTTCTACCCTGCCGAGATCACCCTGACCTGGCAGCGTGATGGGGAGGACCTGACCCAGGACACAGAGCTGGTGGAGACCAGGCCTTCGGGGGATGGAACCTTCCAGAAGTGGGCAGCTGTGGTGGTGCCTTCTGGAGAGGAGCAGAGATACACGTGCCGTGTGCAGCACCAGGGGCTTCCGGAGCCTGTCACCCTGAGATTGGGTAAGGAGGGGAACAGGGCACAAAGCCTGTTCTCAGGGGCATCAGGGTTGGCCCCTCTGGGGAACTGCTGAGGGTCAGGCTGAGGCTGGGGGTCAGACCCTCTTCTTCTTTCCTTCCTTCCCAGAGCCCCCTTCTCAGTCCACCATCCTCACTGTGGGCATCATTGTTGGCCTGGCTCTCCTCGGGGCTGTGGTCACTGGAGCTGTGGTGGGAGCTGTGATCAGTAGGAGGAAGCGCTCAGGTAAGATGGGGAAAGCGGGTGATGGGAATCTGTCCAACCTGACGAGTCTTGAGTCTTGTCCCACTTCGGGTATTCCCCCCTCTATTAGTTCTCCTGCCGCATCAGCAGGACCACCGCCCACCTCTGTGCTGTTGCTCACACTCCCACTGTGTATGCCACTGTCAGCTTTGCATCATGAAAGACACTTTCACCTCCATAAACTGGGGATGAACCTGAGTCCCAGTGTCCCAGGTCACAGAGACTGTCCCTGCTGAGCACAGACCACCAGGAGAAGGCTCCTCAGTTGTGGAGTATCTCCTTCGTGCATGTTTCCTGTTCCTGCCCTCAGTCTTCAGAGTTCTGACGCTTCCCTGGGCTCCGGGCCTACAGAGCTGCTCTGTGGCCTCAGGACCCAGTGCTCTCCCCAACCTTCTCTGGGATGTTTTCTTCCCACAGGTGAGAAAGGAGGAAAGTACACTCAGGCTGCAAGTAAGTTTGGGCAGGGCTGCGGCCCTGGAATCCTGGGGACAGAGACCGGAGCCCACAGGGAGCCCCCACACCCCTAGTTTCTTCTCTAGTCCCAACCGCTGTGTTCAGTTTGTTCTTTACCTTATTCTGTTTGTTCCTCCCCAGACAGCGACAGTTCCCAGGGCTCTGATGAGTCTCTCATGAATATTAAAGGTGAGTCCCTGGAGCATGTAGTGGTGGGATTGGGCAGAGAGGACAGGACTGGGTTTGGGGATTCTTTGAGAGGGATGCTGGGAGCTTGCTCAGGATGTCACCACTTCATGACTCACCTGGGTCTCTTCATTCTTTTCTCTTACAGTGTGAGACAGCTGCCCTGCTGGGTTTCCTCACATCCCAGTGTTGTGACTCAAGAACTACTGATTGTCTTTCTGCCTTGGGACCTGAACATGTCTATTGTCCTATCACACACTGTGAGGGGGGGACTGGCCCAGCCCTGCCCACTGGGCCCTCCCCACACTGACCCGCGTTCTGTTCCTCATGTTCTGGGCTCTGCCAGCAGAGTCACGACTCATCTGTCTCTGTGTTAGCTTCTTGTTTTCCTGAATAATGTTTCTTCTTTACTGAAAAAAGCATGTGATTTGCATTTTTCTAATTCCTTTTTTGTGGGATTAAAGGATTAATAAAAAGAAATCCCTGAAATTTGTTAAGGGACAAGTGGAAATCCTGAGACCTTCCATGTGTTTTCTGTTTTGATTTGAGTCTGTTCCAGATATGACAGGAGAGGCTGTGAGAGGATTGGCGGGGAGGGGGCAGACCTGTGCCCAGTCTGTCGCTGTCTCAGTCACTGTGGGCTCTGATATGATCACTCTTCTGTCTGGGTCATTTCTCCTATTTCTTGTCCTGGTCACTCAGTAACACCTTGTCCCACAGACCCTTGTTCACAGGGACTCAGGTCACAACCAGGCTCATCCTGTCCCAGGACCGTGAGCAGCGAGGGCTTCTGTGCTGGTCAGTCTAGGCTCAGGCCTGGGTCTGATCCTCAGCCCCATCTCGGTGTTTCTTTGTTGCTTCTGTGCAGGAGGCTGCCTGTTCTCTTGTCCACACATTCATAGCTCATTCTCTCAGTGTGTGTCTCCATCTCTGAGCCTCAGGAGGTATTTGCCTATCACTGTCCCCTCAAGGCCCAGCATGGCCCCTGAACATGAGTCTCTGTGGTACCAAGAGATGAGTATTCATACTTGCCATGTTAGAATTCAGCCCTCCCACCCACCAACCCTGAAGCTCTAGGAACCTTAGTGCTGTCTGTGATCTGTGTTCATGTATTTATAAATTACTCTCAGTTACCTTCAGACATAAGGGTTAGAAAATGAGATCTATGAACCCAAGATCCTCTTCTCCTAAGAGAGAAAGTACTGTGTGCTGTGTGGTGCCAGTATGGGAGGGAGGTAAAGTGAAGATGAGAAGCTCTTGTGAGAAAAGTGGAGGTGAATCGATGTCACTTGGAGTAGACATTGTAGCTGCCAGAGCACAGCATGTCGGTTGAGGCTGCATGAATAAGACAGTGTCTCTACCATGGTCTGCACTGATCATCTACCCACTTTGCAGATATGGGGATATTTTGGTGTCTATCAAACAACAGAGAATGAAAATCAGGCAAAACTTACCAGCCTTTGAGATGTAGTAGGAAGAGACAGACTTACACTGAAATTATAATAACCAAGGCAAATTTTCTGGTTTGAAATTAATAATCTCTCATGGGAACAGGACTCATGGGAACAGGACTCTCATGGGAACAGGACCCACTTATAAAAGTGTGTGAGGACTAGGACAGTGACTGTTTTCTAGGCTGGTCAGTGTGGCTCCACAAGAAGGTAACCTTTGAGGAAATATGGAAGGCTGTGAGGGACTATCTGTGTATGTGTCTGGTGCCAGACAGGAAATGTCGGTGTAAATGCACCAGGGTAGGCGCAAGTCTGTGTCAGGGAAGAGGAGGCATCAGTGTGACTGGAGCAGTCACTGAGGTGAGGTCGTGGTGCCCTCAGGTAACGAGGCTGCCATGATTCTGGAAGATTTGACTTTTATCTAAGAGGGGCAGCTACAGGCAGGTGTGAATTCAGGCTGGTGTGATTGTCTTTGGGTCATCAGTCTGGCTGCTGTGCGGATGAACAGGTGAGGGTACAGTGAGATGCAGGGCACTAGGAAACTGGTGCAGATTCCAGGGTAGAGATATTGGGGTCTTTGGGGTGTGAACAGGTGAAATAATGGAAGTGACTGGATTCTGCAGGCATTTGAAGCTGGACTTGACATCATTTCCTAATGTATGGAATCTTGGTTAGGAGACAGGATTCAGGGAGAAACCCCAAATGTCAGGATGTGCAAGTGGAAGTACCGGTGCTTTCACTGCGCTCAAGAAAGATTTTGGAAGAAGCTCACTAAGACAATGACACTATAGGGTTCAGGTTAGTGGGTAACAGCTGAGACCTGTCAGAAATGCAGGTTGGCACCTGGACAGACAAGTCTGGATTCAGATGGGATGTCTGGGCTGGGTAACTGACTGCAACAGTGATATTTAAACCCTGGAGAACATAGGTGGACACTCCAACACTGATGACTGAAGAAAACAGCCACACCCTGAACCTCCAAATCTGATTAGACCTCACAGGTGTGACACCATGTGAATGGCAGAGAGAAAGGGAACCCCAAATGTCAGTGAGCTGAGGCATCACCTGGACGGTTTCTTCAATCTCAGAGAGTCTGGCTGGAGGAGAGTCTGGGTTTATAACATGGTTGGAGGTGAGTTTGCTGGTTTCAGCCCCATGTTCGCAGGAAGAATATAGACCAGAACACCAGTGACTGTGCTCACTGCCCCTGTCCCCAGGTGGGCCCTGGGAAATGAATGACACCTGGGCTCTAGGCCCCACATGTTGACAGTGACTTGGGAGAGGCCTGAGTATGCAACAAATGCAAAGCAGTCCTGGGTTTCAGCTAGATGTGGAATCACTGAGTGATTCACCAGAGAGCAACCTGGTTGGTGTGATACTTGAAATACATGTTGAATTATTTTCTTCTGGGAAGAAAAAGGCAAGAGACCCCTGTGCTGGATGATCTTGTTTCTTTCTCTGTGTGGGTTCTAGCCATTGAAATTAGGAGGTAGGTATGAGTTCAGCAGCAGGAAAATGTCTGAATCTATTTCTTAGGTATTTCTTATTAGTGCAAACAATAGATGTCAATTTTTTTTCTTTTTAATAAAGCTCTGAAGCAGACCTTTCCTGCCAGAGACCCAGAGTCAGAGCTACAAGACCGACCACAGAGGGGTCCCCCAAGAGAGACACAGTGAGTCTATATTAGTACATTTCGTGGGAAGTTTGGAAATTATTAGTTTCAGGTTGGTAATTAGAGGATAAATCTGGTGGGTTCTCTTTTAACAAAAAAGGGCAGAAGAAATTGATATATTTAAATTGTGATATAAAACATCTTCTAACATTCTAGAAGGATCAACCAGATGCCCAGAGCTGTGACCTTGGATGAACCTAGACCCCCTTGTAAAGTCGTACTGTGCGTCCCAGAATCTGGAACCAGGTCTGGTCTCCTAGGGCACAAAGACCTTGTTCTCCCTCCCCTGGATGTTCTGGGTCTGGAAGGAGAGAGATCCCTTAACCACCTACCCCTGTTCATCTCCTGTTTCCTTCTCTCATTGTGTGTTTGTGTGTGTGTGAGAGAGAGACAGAGAGAGAGAACATAGACAAGAATATCTATAAAATTACAGAAAAATGCCTACAACTTAGTATTCCTGATCAATCATAGAGTCCACATCTCTATGATCACCTTCCAGGTGAAAATAGAGTCTCTCCACTCCCCAGACACCCACACCCTCTCCCTTCCGCCTACACCCCCTGTCCAATTGTCCACGCAGCTGACCCTCCCCTGCCCCTTACCTCTCTGCTACCCACCCACACTGCTCTGAGTTCTACCCCATGATGTCCCTATTTACTGCCTCTTCTTACTTCTCTAGGAATCCCCATCCCCATCTCACTATCCACCCTGCACACTTCCTGACCCCCTCCCCGCACACGAGGGTTGGAGAATCCAGGGTTGGTTCCCAGGAGAAGGCACCTTCCTGCTAGAAGCAGAAGTTGAAAAACGTATGTGGAACCAGGGCACCTATATTTCACCTGTGAGCACCAGACATTCAGGGAGTCAACCTGGAATGTGGGGACCAGCTATTGTGACCCTTTCCCTTGAGGCATGAGTGCGGGCTCCCCAGATGGGGATGAAACATCCTCAGACTTTCACCTGACAGGGAACACCCACTTTGTGCACAAAACCCTGTCCCAGGGAGAGACCCAGGGAAGGCCTGGCTGAGCAGGATAAAGGGGCGCTCTGGTCTCTGCCACACGGAGGCGCTGCCGTGCAGCTCTGGGCTCTAAGGAGCCCTGGAGCACTGGGGGGTCTGGGCCAGCAGACTTGGTTGACCTGGAGACCAGGCATCAATGGACTGAAGATTCTCTGTGAGGAGCCTTAGTAGCAGGACTTAGAGGAGGGAAAGGTCAGGACTTCGTCCTGTTCATTACATTTATATCTTTTATTCCCAGAATGCGACTCTCCAGCCCCTTGATGGCAAGCCCTGAAAAAACTTAAAATTAAAGCCATTCCTTTTATGAGGGTTATTTTTATTTATGTTTATTAAAATGACATAATAATTTTTATTTACAAAATTATTCATAATACAGTGGTTTCAAGCATACAATTTTCCAACACCAATCCCACTACCAGTGTGACCTTCCCTTCAGCAATGCCCCCAGTTTCCCTACCACCACACAACCCTCCTCCTTATTAGGCAGATTACAAATTTATTTATTTATCCATATTTATTTATTCATTTATTTAGGAAACAAACAAACAAACACTGTCCTCCCATTGTTCATCGATTTCCTCGAGCGGGCCCAGTAACGTCTCCATTGTGAGACTTGTTGTTACTGTGTTTGGCATATCAAATATGTCATGGGTAGCCTGCCAGGCTTTGCCGTATGGGCGAGATACTCTTGGTAGCTTGCTGGGCTCTGTGAGAGGGGCAGAGGAATCTAACCCAGCTCAGCTGGGCTGGCTACACGCAAGGCCAATGCCCTGCCACTGTGCTATTGCTCCAGCCACACGGAAACTAAAAGAATAGCAAATGGAATAATCTGAAAATAAAATAATAAAAGTCTGTTTGGATTGATTTTTATAGAATTTTAACGTTTGTAATTAAATTTAAATATTTTCATAGAATAGAATGTCTACTTTACATTATATAAGTAAGTTTTCAACTCTGGTATCTAAAATATATTGCATTAGCTTGGATTTTGTAGTTGGGACTTGTTATGGCAATAATCACATCTTACCTGTTATTTTTTGCTTATATATTTGGAGTTTGCTTACATAGTTGGAAGAGAACAACGCAGAG